CTTTTATTGGGATGACAGAAGGTTGACTAGGTTGCCATTTAAATAGTAACTTCAACAATTGGGGCCAATAGGTTATCTTTGCTCCAAGCTGAATAATTTGCAATGCAGAACAAGGGACACCCCAAATGGAATTTTAAAAAATCTCGGGTCCAAAAAGAGGAATGGTAGCAGCCCAATTATATTTATAGACATAAAGTGGTAATAAATTGCATTAGCCCAACAATATCTATTCAATGCCAAAAGGACCAAAGCAAAATATAACTCTAGGCCCAACTCTCTTAAACTAATGGGTCTAATTTTTTGGATCCACTTTGTGAATAAGGCCCAACGATGTGAAAGAAACCCAAAGTTAATTGGTTGACCCGTCCCGACAAATAGGCGGGAATGGGCACACCACCCAACCAAAAGCTGTAAAGAAAAAACAAGTCACTTCCATATTCAATGCTTTACATACCTTGTAGTGATCTTTGGAAAAAATTCATGGGCAAGTGAAAGGACGGGTCTAAAGAAGTATTGAATTCACGTTCCAGAAGCTTTTCCTGGGATTTAAATGGCTGAAAATGGTCGTTGCCTGAAGGGCCTTTTACGACGACTACCGTAGATTGCTAGGCAGGAAGTTTGCTTCGACGGTCGCACATTTCCAATTGAACCATTTTACCAAGCAATTTGTATACAACCACCCTTGTCCATTTTTTTTAATAGAAAAATCAAGTTGAATAATGGTAAAGATGGCGGCCAAGAAAAACATAATTGCAGTTATCTTGAAGACTCGCTGGCGTGTTCTTGAGCTTTCACGAGTTTTTTTAGTTCTTCCTCTCCTTTGATTGTTTCTTCACATTTTGTGCTTTATTTCTCCCTTTCAATGGACAGTAGAGAACTTGATGAAATATTGGTTTCAGCTGCCTTCTAAATACCAGAGCTTCCTATAGCCTTTTCATGGTGGGTTTATTTAGCCCTTTTGCCGGAAAGCTCCTTCTTTCAAGGAAATTTTTCACGCTACCTTCCAGTAGCTATTTTCTGTTTTGGTAGTTGTAATCTTCTTCGGAAAAAAAAATGTTGCTGCCTCCTCTCTTTAGGTAGAACACTGATCGAAAATTTTTCAATTTTCGTTGACCTTTTGGTACTTGGTATAATATGGTTAACGTACCGTTTTCCACAAACGATGCCAATCTGTTGACCTCCAAAAATGGCTCCAACAGGTTTTCTAGCCTCGTCCCCTCGCAACCTGTGCAAGTAGCACCCCGTCAGGAGGCAAAGGCGGCCGGACAAGAAAAGAGTCTGGTGGCCGTTTGCACTCCGACGATCAAGTCAACGGCCGGACGGAGATAGATATATAGAGTGCAATAGTATGGAGATGGGAGTTTGGCTAGAGAGTGTAGAACATATCTTGATCGTGTGAGTTGAATTCGTATATATAGAGAAATGGATGTGAAGCGGGCCAAACGGGTTAGTGGGCCTAAGTCTGAGCCCAATATGAGGTGAGCAAAATAATAGGCGCCTCGATAGGCGCTTCGGCTAGACTTCTTAGGGCCTCAGCTTCGCCTCGGTTGGCATTGTCAGAACCTCGGCTTTGGGGCCCAACACTAATGGGCCTGGCTCGAGTCCAATAAAATGACCCAATATGGAATGATAATTTATAGGCATAACAAACTCTTTTTTTATGTGTGCTAAAATAACAATTTGAACAGCTTATAATTTTTACCAAACAAACATATAAAATGTACATGATCTATATGTGATATGCTTTTATTTGGATTATGTTTATAAATTGTTTATAATCATTCAATGTCAGTTTTTATTCATACAACTGAGGGATCTACTAATACTATTCACTTATTCATCACTATTTTTTTTGTATTACATATATAATTTACAAATATTGATAGTTCGGTAGAATTATGATACTTTTATGCTTCGGTATCCTTTCTATAGTACTTTTGATTGGCATTTAATGTTGAGATTGAATAACGATGATATCTTGTAGTTGCTCTATGTAAAATGTAATATTTCAAATTATTGCACATTAAGAGTTAGTAAATCGTATTTGATAAATAGTATTAAGTTGGCACTAAATGCTCGAGTTTGGAAAGTTAAAAATAAATTTTAATCGTGTACAAGATGCATTAAATTATGAATAATGCCTATGATAAGTGTAAACTGCATATTACTTTCATAAGTGAAAATCCTGACTTGGAGGTGAATTAAGCATAAAGGAGGTAAAAAAAGAAAGATAAAAAAAAGACTTAAATTGGACAAAATGATGGAAGCGTTTTATTGCTGGGAAGTTCGACAAGTTAATTGAAAGCTTTGGAGGAGTTTGGGGACTAAAAGCAGATGAAATTATAACTTTGTGGATAACCTTGCACATTCATGGAATATGAAGGACCAAAGTTGAAGAAAATAAAATATGAAGGGCCTATTGAACATGTTTGAAAGTTGGAGGATCAAATTGGATGGACCTAAAAGTGAGGATCAAATATCCAAAGGCCGAAAAAGTGAAACTAGGAGCTACGTGTTGGCATTGTTAAGAAATCAAAGCATAACATTTGGAACAACATGACGAATGTTATACCATTGAAAGATAGTTGAATTTGGAGTTAATGCAAAAAAGGAATGGCAATTCAGAGTTGTGGGTAAAAAATGCGCCATTTAAAATCAGGTTGTCATAGCAAATTGTACTTCCACCCGGGCAGCACATGGGCCTTAGGTAGAGATGTCAATTGGGCCGAGCCGACTCGACTCGTGAGCTGCTCGGGCTCGTCAAATGATGAGCCCGAGCTTGAGCCGAGCGGGGGGTCCCGTCCAACGAGCTCAGTGGCTCGTGGGCCGAGCCAACTCGTCCAAAAATGTGAAAAATATCAGGTTGAATTTGGAGTTAATGCAAAAAAGGAATGGCAATTCAGAGTTGTGGGTAAAAAATGCGCCGTTTAAGATCAGGTTGTCATGGTAAATTGTACTTGCACCCGGGCAGCACATGGGCCTTAGGTAAATTTTACAGGGAGAAAAATCATAACTAAGTGATTTAGTAAACACGAAATCACAACTCAAGTAACCGTTTCGATTGATTTTGATCACAAGTTAAACGTTTTCATCACAAAGATGTGTCTTGTCACTGATTTTCGAATCAATCTGGTGTACTGAAATTAATCGAACAGATCAGCTAACAAATTATAGATTCTTATCGCCGGAGAAGACAATCTAGGTAATAATTCGATTATTTTGGTTACGAATTGAATGTTCAAGTCACAATTGAAGATTTCGATTACAGTTTTTATTTTATTATGATCTAATTGTATTGCATGTTCACCTATAAATTTGAATTACAGGCCACAGAAAAATTTGATTGTAGCAGGAGGAGATTTCAAGTAATGGCTTCTAATGTTGTGGTCACGAATTAAATGCTCTAATCGCGAATTGAAAATCTAATGCAAGGAACATATGATTTGATCATCGTCAGAGAATAGATTCCAAGTAAACGCTTCAAATATTTTTGTCACAAATTGAATGCTCTGGTCACGACTTTATTTTTCTCATCATAGGTTCAATAGAAACTCCGATTGGCACTGGAGAAGATATTGCTGGTAACCACTCCATATATTTTGGTCATAACTTGAATACTTTTTTTTTTTTTGTTAGTTTTCAATCATTTAACCCTAAAAAACACTACACATCATATCCTAAACTCTAAAAATAATACCCACCAACATCACCTCCATCACCGCCACTGTCACCACCATTGATCATCGTTGTTGCCAACCACCACAGCCATTGCCGCCCCCACCTTTCATATTTCGACCCCAAACCCTAAATATATTTTTGTTTCTTCTCTTTGTTGATGTTTGAGATAGAAATGCAACTTTAGAATGTGGGCATGTCGGAGTTTGACCATAGATGTCGCCTTTTTCAATGATGGTGGTGGTGACAACATCATATTTGATTAATCTGTAATGGTGTGTTGATTTACAGAGGTAGTCATGGTATTGGCAGATGTGGTTGTAAGCAGTGATAATGTCAACAATGGTGGTGACAACAACGAAATGACGTAACATAATTTATTACAAGTGTTAAACTTCATGTAATAACGCGAAGATAGTGATAGTAGTGACAATTGTGGTTTAACACAATTTGTTACAAATATCACACTTTATGCAATGACATGATGGAAGCTGTATTACACAATTTGCTATAAGTTTTACCCTTTGTGTAAGGTATTGATATAGTTGCATTGTCATAATACAGCTTGCTACAAGTCTTACATGTATCGACAATGGTGGTGATGAGTATGATGACAGTGACATCGTAGCTCAAAATGTGTTACACATGGAATGTTCTTTGGAAAATTAGCCTGCTCCCATTTTCACTAAAATGTTGGCTCAATAACCCTCCTACGAGGTGAAACATACTGTAGGACACGTGTGCTACAAAAAATAGTTACAAAAAGTAACAAAATATTTATAAAAAAATAATAATAATAAAGTGATCGAAGAAAAACAATATTTTTGTTTTAGAAATGGTTGGATAGGATAGTTTGGGTAGATCGAGTCAAACTATAGTTGGTTATATAGTCGTGTGCTAGTTAGGAATGAAAAATCCCGCCCCACATTGCCAAGTAATTAATTAAATGGGAAGTAAAATGAGAAATTTTTAACTCCACTCCAGTCCCAACTCTTAAAATTTTATACTGTATTAAGATAAGAATGATAATTATTGTTACGATTCACCTCGTTGACATCCCTATCAATAGTAGGCAACCCTAGGGCCCGTTTGGTAGGAATTTTGAGAATTGATTTTTTGACCGTTAGAAGAAGAGTAGGGTCCACATGTGAGGGAAGAAGTAAAAAATTACGGCTTGAATAGTAAAATAACGGTCAAAAAATCAATTTTTTGGAGCAAAAAATCCCTACCAAACGCGGCCATAATTTTAAGGTTAAAAAACTTTAATCTTCAAGGAGATAAAATTGGTCCTTTTCTTTTGCATATTTTCTCCAAAGGCCCTAATAACAAAAATGGCTTCCATCTTCACACCCCGGTGCCCTTCCCAGACATTTTATTTTTGGCCCAAGACCGCTAAACTCACATCCGGTTGCTCCAAAATTCTACGCATGGCAGCGCGAATGGAGTCCTCATCCGTAGCCACCAATGCAGCGGCGGATTCTACCACCGACCACGAGGATTCGGAGAGCTCCGTCGTAGAGACGGTAGTACAGTACGTGGTGCTGCGACGGGACCTAATCGACACATGGCCCCTGGGGAGCGTGGTGACGCAGGGATGCCATGCCTCTGTTGCCGCAATATGGTCCAACAAGGATGATGCTCATACCCTCCTCTACTGTTCACCCTCCAATCTGGATTCTATGCATAAGGTTAGTAATTTATTCCAACTCAAATTTGCCTTTTTTAAATTTCTGCTTTAGATTTTGGATGAGTTGATTCAACTGCTGTGATTCCAGTCTTTGATTAAATTTTCAGAAAAAGAAAAGAAAAAAACTTGTACGGTGGAACGTTCATTCTAAATGTTACTAGTTAGAAATCTGAAAACTGATTAAGTAAAGTAAAATAGTCGATGAGGAAGACAGAGGAAGTATGTATTGGTGGCTGACATGGATTTGTAGGAAATGGACAAATAACCCTATTAGGTTGGGATTGAATAACTGATCATGACTATTTGATTAAAATCTGTTTTTCTTATGAACCTTATTAGTATTAATTTGTTAATTAGCTGCTACCCGTCCAAATTCCAAAGGTAAAATATGGTAACGATATTTTATAAGTGATTAAATCAAATCTCTGATTGAATGAGTGAACGAATTGTTCTTATTAAATGTGGTCTTAATCTTAGTGAAGGCTGTGCATATCTGAATCGATTATTTTTAAATTTAGTTTTAGTTTGTTTTCTATTGACTGGGGGACGTGTGTAATTTACGGTCCACGCACATATGAACACATGTTCTAGTGAGTTTTTTGCCCAAGAACTAAGCACCTATAAGTGCTTATGGTTTATATGGTGGGATCAGATAGTTAATGACGCTAAGTCCCTGATGAATTGCATATGTGTTTCACTAGCAAAGGCACTTTTCACATCCATGTTTTATCCTTCTTTCTTTATTTCCTTTTTTGGTCGGGGATGGAGGTGGGGAGTTATTGGTTGAAGCCTCCGCACTTGATCATTAAGATAGACAGTAAAACCTTTGACTAATCGTGAAACCCTTTAGTGGATTCTATCAGCTTTTCTCCTGAAACAGCTAAAATACTTTTTATTAACTTTTACAATGACAATAAAAACCCACCCTCTAAATGCTACATAATCCTACTTTTCTGAGCCCACGGCCCAAGATTTCCCATGCCCATGACCTCAAAACCCCAACATATGTTTGCAAACATGTGTGACGTAATTGGACAAACAAAAAATAAAATAAAGATGGGCACTTAATCTCTTTTCAATTGATAACTGCTATTCTAACAATGTTAGACCTTCGTTCTGTATCGACATTACAATCTAGGACTTAGCTCATGTCACATGAAGCCTGTGGAAGATTTCTATTATTTTTGTCGACTTAACAATGTTTTCATAAAATCTGGTATATAATCATATGCTACTTTGTACAATTAATGCCAGAAACTGATGGTGTATAATCTGACATATATATTGCATCTGCAAAATATTAACCAAAACAAAGGAGGCATAGTGGTGTTTTACTTGTTAGATACTTCAAACAAGTTGTTTTCATTGGGGTGGATTGAGAATAAAAGAAAATGTAATGGAACATTGGATATAAGCTCTATGTGAGAGCAACGTGATGATATTCTTGTTGGAGTGTCAAGAGTAAAGATGTTTGGACGTTAAATTGAGAGAAAGCATACGAAGGGTTTGGATGGTAACTTCTAGAACCAAAACAGTGAAGGGGTGTGGTTGTGGTTAAAATTGTTTACCAAAGCTGAAACATTATTTTACGTAGGCGTCGTCTTGCATTATGTAATGAAAGACGGTTTAATAATGTCTAGTTGGTATATATCTGTTTACTTTACATGACAGGTGGCTTAATAGCCATCTGCCACACATCTGTTGTAAATTGAGATGGCATTATAGCTGTATACCTTCTATGCATGGACAAGGCCTGATAGCCATCTGTCTTACATTTATACTGTGCAATCGGTGGATAATCTGTCTTGTATTTATCCTATGTAAGCGGTGGATGAGCCTTGTACATTTTGTATTTGAAAAGTGGCAAAGCCACATGTCAGACCATTGTCCTGCATGTTACAGATTGACCATCTGTATGTATAGCAATTACGGTCTGCCCTTTATGCTTTGGACAAATGAAGTCATATTTGTGATACAAAAGATAGCAGAATTTGATTTAATGTGTGATTTGAATGTTTTGGCCAAGTATTATGTTGAAGGAAATTATTAATCCATGTCTTGCATTTGAAAATAATAGAATAGCTATATCAATGAAGAAAGATGTTTACATTGTGAAAATAGAATTTATATGCTCCATTGGATGGATGAATGGGTGGATGTGATATTGTGTTTGCTTGTGCATGAGAAGTAAGCTTTGGCCATTAGTTGGGAGCCTTACCTTGGGCTTGCTTATTAAGTATCCAGGTTGGGCTTAAGTTGCTTATATGACATTATCAGTGGACGTATACAATCAAGGCAAGGAAAAATATAAAAAAATAAATAAGGAGAGATAAGTTGGGTAACTATTTGTGGCATCTTTTTGATGGAACACCGACCTTTTTCTTATCGTTTCTACTCAATCTGTAGTCATGTTTTATCCTGTGTACTCATGTCGTTAGCATTGATTGGGAGCATGTATCAAATTTCTGAATCTAGGATCAATGCAATGTGTTTATTATACATCCCATACCCTCCTAGAAGTCAAGCATCCCATATGAGCACTTTTGGTATGTAACGACCTGTCTGACTTAACTACATCGCAATCTTTCTTTATTATTTTATTTTAATTTTTTTTTTTTGGATAATTACTTCCATTCTGCTGTTTTTAATTCATTGAATTATGTGGGAATTTTGTTTTCTGTTTTTCTAATTCTTTTTTCCTAATACTTCTGTTATCTGATTTGATCAAATAGTAGAAGGAAGATGGAGAGAGTATCAGTGTGCTAATCCCAACTTTCTCCCTTGTTGAGCAGGTTACTCTTGAAGTTAAGGGCGAAGCCCAGATATTGAACTTATCAGAGAAGCTAAAAACTGCCGGCATAGCTCATAAGCTGTGGATTGAACAACCTGAGAACTTTCCCACATGTCTTGCCACGAAACCTTATCCTAAATCCTTCGTGTCGTCATATTTCAAAAAGCTTAAACTCTGTAAGTGATAAAAAGTTCAGGGGCCAATTATGTATTCTATAATTAAATTTTGTGGCATGTTCGGTTCCTCTAGAGGAGATTTCATTGACATATAATCATTGCTCTGACTACGTGCACTTGTTTCATAGAGGAGTATAAGCTCAGTTTGGTCAGAAAATATGTCAAAAACCGTCCAAAACAGACTGCTGGTTTTGTGCTCGCATTGTAAGGAATGCGAAGTATTGGATAATGTCCCAAATTCTAGTATGGTTTTGAGCAGTCTCAGGTCATCGAGTTGAATAACTCCCACTTAATGTTGAACTCAACTTGAGTCAAGAGGAGAGTCTGAAACTACGACTTGATTTGATCGAGCTGCTGAGTATCTGAAAACAGGCTTTAGTAATTACTTCCTGTAATTATGTTGAAGCATTGCAGATGAGAAAATATTAAATGATAATGCGAATAATCGTCTCTCCCTGGAGAGTTGATTATCTTAAAAAAGAAGCAAGCTGCTCTTAAGCTTTAAGCTTTCGCCGTTTGAATTTTGTTATGTTACCACTTCAAATTTGAGCACTAATTTGAGTTTAAAGTAAAACTAAATTCATTGTGCACGTGGGATGTCCATTATGATTTGAGAGTGAGTCGTACAATATTCAATATTCGTATAGGAGATTGATGGTATAACTAAAATCCTTTATACAAAATCATAAAAATAGAAACGTTAAGCCTATTATGACATGTTAGATAGGCTCAAATAGATAGTACCGAAATGATTAAAATAAGTTTAATTTTTATCCATGTTCAATACACAACCTTAGACATGTTGTTTTCACTTGGGCTCCTGTAAGGATATGACAGTTTCAAATGCCCCGGCAAGTGCTTTCACCTTGTTCTTCCTCTGCTCTCGAAGCTTGCTTGCAGTCTCTTCAATTACATCATTCGAAACCAAGGAATCCTTCTTTTCGCTGTCTTCTTGTTTCGACTCCTCACTTTCAGTCTCGGGCTTAACTTCTTCAACTACTACTTTTATTTCTTGTTCCTCAGAATCAGAATCAATAGTTTCACTTTCATCCAAAGCTATCGCTACTTCTTTTTCTTCGACTTCTTCTTTTAAATTATCTTCAAGAATTTCGTCAGTTTGTGTGTGATTGTTTTCATTCACAATGTGTTCTTCTAATTCAATCTTTGGTTCGTCTTCTGGTAATTCTTTACTCTCGACTCCAAGGGAGACCTCTGGCTGTTCTGAAACTGTATACGGATCAATAGTCACAACTTCTTCGACCGTGATTTTCTCGGGTTCATCCTGCTCTGTAATACCTTTAGGCTCCGCATCTTCCGCTACTAAAATCTCAGGTCCCAATTCATGCACTGTCTCTTCATATTCAGCATCAGTAACTGAAGATTCTTGTTCATTTTGTCCTATTTCAACTTGTAATGGATCAGATTTATCAGGGCTAGTGACTTGTTCTTTTGCTATTGAACCACTCTTTGCAGTGTCTTGTTTCTTATTTCTGGGTCTGCCCTTCTTGGTAGTACTCAAAGGTCTCGCAATAAAAGAGCGCTTACCGTCATCCTTTGTTGGCACCTTCAGCAACTTATCTGGAATAGATTTATGCGTACTAGTCATTGGTTTACTCAAAGACGAGGAAGATCGAATAGCAGGACTAGGCGAAACGCGTCTTTTTTGAGTACCAGAAGGGGACGGAGGCTTGTCGAATGATCTTCTTCTTGCAAGATTAGGCTTGTTGGCATTGGCAGTCGAAGCTGGTTTCTTGCCAAGCTGTTTAGAAGCATCAAGACCTGAACTTATTGTAGGTTTGAGATAATTTGGTACATATTTATCTGATGCAGATTTTTCAGGAGAGCTTGGTTTAAAGTTGGGAGTTTTTTTTGGGTATGAAGGGGAACTTCCCCTTTTCTCCTTTCCAAGGGCAGTGTCTCGTGTTCTTGTCGCCATTTGTCAGTTTCTTTATAACCTGCATTAAGAAGCATATTTGCAACATCACATTGGTTTCAAATCTCTCCTCACCCACAATTGATTCAAAAATAAAATCATGATCGAGATAGTGAACCAAAAACAACTACTGACAACTAATAGCACGATCTTCTACGTCGTGTATTTTTCTTTTCTTTTCTTTTTTTTCTTTCACCGTTGTGTTCTAATGATTTTTCCTATAACATTGAGACAAAATGACTCTACCTACACATACTATGGTATTAGAAGAGATATCCCTATTTTTTCTCCAAAAAATAAAACTGATAATAATAAAAAATCAAATGATATGTTTTTGTTATATGGTCTAGAAATTGTTGGTATGCATAGTAACATAGAATTGTTCAATCAAAACTGTTTTTTCTCTGGACCATGAAGGAAAAGACTAAAGAAATGCTGAGGAAAATCAATGACATTGAATTGTTTGACATAATTTTTCATATAAAAAATTCAAAAATGGTACAATTAAAACCTGTATAAATTAACACGAGTCTAATGTAGGATTATGCATCCACCTAACCTTTTTCCTACCATTTACGAATATGAATATGTAAAGAAAATAGCGATAATGAGTTACGATAATGAATTTACAACATGTCTATCGACTCTATATCATTCCAAGTTCATTTCTTATCAATATTAAACATAAACCAAAAGTTTATAGAACAAGAAATTAATTTCTGAAAATCTAGAGAGAGAGAGAGAGAGAGAGAGAGAGAGAACACCTTGTATAAAGAGAAAAGATGAAAGCCTTTTGGAATGAAAGTTGATGAATGAGAAAAACAAAATATTATTAGTAGCCAAATATGGACATATCTATGGTAGATGGTTAAGTTATATGAGCGAAAATCATGCACGGCCCAAGGCACCAATTCCACACTTTGACCATTTCAAACCACACGTACGTCTATGCGTACATCGATTAAGTTATATCATGTTCTCTTAAGGCCCTTTGTTTTTGTAAGATCACATTTGTAAATGCATCCGAACAACTTAAAGGACGAGCTTGTGTTTATATGGATCGAGCCGGCTTGATTTGATTTAGGGCTCATTTGGCATAACTTTTGCTTTTAATTTTACTTTCGCCTCTTGTAGAAGAGTTTTAAAAAAAAAAAAAAATTAAGGTGATTTTTGTTTGAAAACTAATAGAAGAAGTCACATTGAACCAATTTCCTCTAAAAACTCTTTCAACAATCAAAAGCACTTTAACAAAATTAGCCAAACAGATCCAAATGTAACTTTTGGATCTCAAAAACTTATTTTGACTTTTCAAAGATCATGTCAAATATGCCCTTACTATAATTCCTGAAGCCAAATAAGGACTTTGAGATAACATTAGTCTAAATAAATGCTAATGTTTAAAACTTGAGTAGGTAAAAAACTGCATAATTGGGGGTGTAAATTGGAGTACGTGTAATAATTTGATAAAAAAAAGTAAGTATTTTTATTAGTTACATCACCTTTTAATTATATTAAAGTTGTGTTTAATTGCAAATATGAAATTTACATGGATAAAATAAATTTTAGGCAATTAAATTGTCTAGAACTTATTTGCATGAAAATTGTCAATTAAATGTATTTGATTGATTTTATTTTCAATTTAAAAAACGTTATATTTGTCCATTTCTTTTATTGGTGAGTAGATGAAAAAGATAAGGTATATGAGAGAAAGAGAGAGAATTATCTAGAAAATAAAAACATATTCCTCCTAAATAAGATTTTCAGACAAATATTTTTTTTATTTTTTATTTTTACTACAGAACACAAACAATTTTTTTTTACAGAAAATAATAGTAGAGACAAGACGTGCTAATTGATGGAAGGCTGATGAGATTTGATGGAAAAAGTTAGGGACATAAGTATTATAAAAATCAAAGATTGAGGACCTTAAGTGTTACTAAAATGTATTGTGACAAATAAAAATTGTGTTGTGATATAATAAGCCAAAATTTAATTGCATCCTAAACCTAAGACAAGAAAATAATTTCAAATATTACAATTGATCACTACCTATAAGAAACTGATAATCAATTTTAGAGAAATAAAAATTCACTAAAAATTATGACATTTTCTATCTAATAGTAAGTTTACCTTAAACATTTACCTGACATATTGGTCGCGTGAAACTTACAAGTGTACGGGATCGTTGACAAGTAATAGATTTATTGAGTTGGGAGTGTCGTCCAACGGAGAATAAATTCAATTCAAATTTACTAGTTTTGTATGAAATTCAAATTATGTAAAACAAAAGAGAAATTTTGATTTGATTTTATGCTAAATTATCTAAGAAAGCAATAAAAGTTTGATTTTTATCAAATTATAAATGATTATATTGCATTTTGACTTCGTCTATTGTCATTTATTTCAATTATTGATTTGTAATCTAGTTCTGTTTATACATTCTTGACAATCCATAGAACTAATATATTTAACTTTTTTAAGACAAATTAAGTATATCATAACCATGTTCCGAATATATTCCTAGCCCAAATTCTAATAGTTAGAATGCATTAAATTTTATATTATTTATATGATTACACAAGTGATAAATGTTATTATTAACATCTATTGCAAATATATTAATTTTGTCGTGTTCTAAACTTGTTGTGAGTCTTCCAACATCACACCAAGCAACTAATTATTTAATTAGTGGCCAATCAATTAAATAAAGCAATGGATATGCAAATATAATCAAGAAAAGTAAGAATTAAACTAAACTACTAGTCTTGAATTTAAAACAAATAAACAATAGGGTTCATTTCATCCAATAAGTAATAAATAAATAAAGAAGAGGAAGGAAGATCTAGCCTAGCATGATTTTAAATAAATTACAAGAAGAATAATGGGAAAAGTGTCGCTTGGATCATGAAAGAATATAAAAGATGTTGACCTTCAAGTTCAAAGTTAAAATTTTCAATTTCTCGATGTAATTGTCATTTAATTCTTTATAAGGCTTGATCTTTTCTTCCAAAAGTAATGAATTGACCTCTTGTTCTTCATAAATTTGATGATATTATTATGTATGAAGAGACAAGAGAGAGTTCACCAATGTTTCTCCCAAATTCTCTATTTATAAGGGCCGAATTTAGGTCAAGAATTCGTCTTAAAGTTATTACCAATAAGAGTTTGAATCAAAAAAGGAAATTGGCTAGTCAGCAGAAATTTTGGTCCAGGCACATGCATAGGTATAGCTACCGCTCACGCGCAGGCATGTTAACTTGCTCTTGGGTCATGAAATTGATGTCTTGTATGCACACCAAAATGGCCAATGCACGAGCCGATTTTTGTCTTATTGTCTTTGAACAGTTTTTGGTATATTGTTCATAACTTTTTTTGTCGATATCTGATTGAGGTGATTCAAAATGTGTTGGAAAGATAACTCTAAGGACTACAATACTTCCAAAAAATATAATTTTTCTAATTCGAACATTTTCTATCCAAAAAATGGTCTCAAGTTAAGGCTAAAAATATGGAGCATAACTTTTTCGGCTGTAAATTGATTCGTGAGAATTCTTCAGGTATATTTCACTCATTTGACTTTAAATTGCATCCAATTGATCGTATGTGATCTTCAATTATCATTTTATAATCCGAATCAACTATATTGAATTTTATACTTTAATCCTTGAACTTTGGATTTCTTTCGTTTTTGCCCCTTTTTCTTTCCTTTCTTCCAATTCCATCAATTGCCTTGAGTTTTACTTAATAAACAAAATTAACATCTAAGGGGTGTTTGAGCCACATTATTTTGATAATAATGCATTCTTGAATAGTGTATTGATGGAAAATGTTTGATTAAAAAATAAGGAAGTTTTTTTGATTTGCGTGTAATATTATTTTATTGAAAAATGTGTGGTTGAAATGATATCAAATTACTGTTTAAAAATGTATTTTTTTGAAATAATATGCACCTAATGTCTTAAGTCATGAAAATTTATTACAATTGATCTCATTTAACGGGCTAATTAACTAGTTGACCAAACTTAAGGTAGCGAAGGACTTAAGAGTGTGACCACTTGGTCCACATTTCTAGGAATAAAATGGTGAGCGCCATCACCAACATCGAAAAGAAAAGCTACAATAGCATCTACAACATGAAAAATCAATTAGACTTTGAATAGCTTGGAAGAACATTTTACTCAGCTATACCAATTTATAGGTCGTTACTTTTGACGAGCATAAGTGCTTCCCAAAGGGCTTTATGGTCTCAACATCTTATCGGGTAAAACATCCCCACACATTTTTAGAACAAATCAAGCCGATTATGCTCTCATAGTCATATGGAATGATATATCCGTATTCTATTTCAGAGTTCCAACATAAATTAACAAAATTCTATATAGTTTTCATCTATGGATTGTGCTAGCAACTATTTTTATAAGTTGAAGACGAGTTTGTTGGGGAGGATTTTGCACCAAACTTAATACGTTAGGGACTTGTTTGAAATTTTGAATATATTAACGGCATAAATACTTAGCAGGGTTTGGTATTCATCTGCATGCGCTGCCGAGGCGCCGACTATATATATACAAGTCTAAGCCGCTTCACAAAACAAAACTTATTTTCTTCTGTTTTGTTAGAATTAAGGTATGATCCGTATTGTATTTAAAAGAATATTTGAAAATTCTACTTGAAGTCCAGTTGAGAATTCTAGTTGGAGTCTATTTGAAAATTTAAGTAGGAGTTCAACTTATAAGTTGGTAGTAAATTTGAAGAAGTTTTAAAGGAGTTCAAGTTGCAATTAGTTTCTCTTCACGTTTTTGACAATTTATTACTCATATTATGTCCCAAATATTTCATTATTAGTTTTTACCATTGTATTGGTACTTCACTTGTATTAAACTCTTGCATTATATTCCTACTCTATCAAGGATCTTAATATTATATATATGGTGTTAAACACTATTAAATCAGTTCTTACATTATACGCAATAATTTGTAATCCTCTGTTATCGAAAGAAGATGCCGGGGTTAACATGCAACGCCTGCAACAAGGAATTCCAGGACGAGACCGACCAAAAGACCCATTATAAATCCAAATGGCATCGCTACAACCTCAAACGCAAGGTGGGGTTTTTATGCTTTCTTATTCTTTAATTTTTTTGTGGGCACTAGATATTTCATTGGATAATTTTGATATGGGTAGCTTTCAAGAATTACTGAATGATCGGGTTTTACCTCAGGAATTAGACATATACGCGAGTGATAATGATTCTGAAGCTGCAAGGATGAGGTGTGAAGAGAAAAAAAAAAAACAATGCCAATGCAGAGGGGAAAATTAATGGATTTATAATTTGTTATTTGCTACATGTGCATTCATTTGAAATATTTGAATTCTTGGAAACTTGATTTTGTGAAATTACAGAATAGGATAACAATGTTTCTTCCATTTTTTGTCCTTGTTGGGCTATGATGCCATTTGATCCAGTCCAACTGTTAGGCAATGATGAAAAGGCCCAAATTGGATTTATTACTTGGTCCATTAAATATATACCTAGAAGGCCCACTTAACCGAGCCCAATATTCAGCCCACACCATTAGTCGCTCTTGGACCGTTGGATTGACCCGCTGATCAACGGTTGATGATACTTACTATAAATAATACCCTTACTCCCTGTTTGGCCTGTGGATCGTCATTTTCTGTTTTTCCCTTTCTCTCTGCCGTGTGGAACCTTCGAGTCCTCTTGTCTGTGTGACCCTTCCTTCTTCTCTTTGTGAGATTTCTGGTTGATTATCTCTGTGATAATCGTGTTCTTGTGTGATTCTCCTTTGTGTGAGTGATCGACCGAAGGTAGGCAGTTTGATTTCTTGAGTCCAATGAAGTGACCTTGGTGTGTTTGGGTTGTGAGGGTTCGGTTTTAGTCTCGGTGCCTCTGTGATGGTTTATGGGTGTGGTCTGAGCCTTCGATTGAAAGATCTAAGCCTTGATGTTGTGATTTAGGGTTTATGATGTAATTTTCGATCCTATGATTTCATCTATGTTTCTTTTGGATTCAGTGTATAATAGTGGTATCAGAGCTTTAGGCTTTCGGTCGTGAGTCTTCGATTGAAGGTTGAACACTGGAAAATTAATTTCCAGGAGTTCGACCGGAGATCGCGAAACCCTAATTTTTGATTTTGTGTCAACATTGTGGTCTGTGGTGTTGATTCGACTCATGACTGTGGAATGCGAGGGAGTTTCTGTGATTCCTCGATGTGATTTGAAAAAGAATCACAATACTGAGATCCTGTGGCCCTGTTTTGTGCTTGAACCCTAACTGATTGGAGCTACCAGGCCTTGAAACTTGAGGAAACTGAATCTGCAGGGGCACGTTTTGTGCCTTGGTGACCTGCAGTGAATCTATCCTTGCTGCAATAATTCTTTCTGGATTTCTGCTGGTGGTTAAATTGTTTAACCATTTTCGGTTTGCATTTCTTGAACCTCCTATGATCACACACTCACTAAACACTGCCCTTATGCATATATGCCTCTATGTTGATATGTTTAGTTACTGTACATTGTAACCTGTTACATTAGTTTGCAATATCTTGAAATAGTTGCTTGTGATCAATTAAGTTTGGGTGATTCAAATTGAGCCTTGACCTGAGAACTTGATTCTC